CGATGATTCAAAGCCTAAAACTGCTTTCCGTACACCGCACGGCCTGTTCCAATTCAACCGGTTGCCGATGGGCTTACACTCAGCGCCGGCAACTTTCCAGCGGTTGATGGAATTGGTTTTGGCTGGATTGCAATGGGAGTCGTGCCTGATTTATTTGGATGACGTTATTGTCTTTGGAAAAACTTTTGACGAACATCTCCAGAGGTTGCGGGCGGTTTTCCAAAAGATGCGGGCTGCTAATTTGAAATTTAAGCCCCAAAAATGCCATTTGTTACGCGAGTCGGTGCGTTATTTGGGGCACATCGTGGGGCGCTCAGGTATTGCTACCGATCCCGCCAAAACGCAGTGTGTCAGCTCCTGGCCGACTCCAACCTCGGTGGGAGAGGTGAGGAGTTTTATTGGCTTCGCGTCGTATTACCGACGCTTCGTCGCAAATTTTGCGACGATTGCCAAACCCCTACACGCTTTAACATCTAAAGGGGTTCGGTTCCACTGGGGTCGGGATGAGGAAGCTGCTTTCTGCTCCCTTCGGGACGCCTTGGTGAAAGCTCCTCCCTTGATTTACCCAGATTTTTCGAGGCCGTTTTTGCTCGACACCGACGCGAGCAACACGGGTATTGGAGGCGTGCTTTCCCAGGTGGTTGACGGCGTGGAACGGGTGGTTGCGTACGGCAGTCGGGTGTTGTCTCCAGCGGAGCAAAGATATTGTGTCACCCGTAGGGAACTGTTGGCAATTGTCTATTTCATCCAACAGTATCGCCCATATCTGTACGGTCAGCATTTCACCGTCCGTACAGATCATGCGGCACTGCAGTACGCCCTGAAGGTTCAACAGCCATCGGGACAATTGTCCCGATGGTTGGAGGTCCTCCAGGATTTCGATTTCGAAACCACCTACCGTAAGGGCGTTCGCCACACCAACGCGGACGCTCTGTCGCGCATGCCAACCGCCTCCGAATGTGCATGCCTCCTGGGGTCGGGGCGTTGCAGGCCAGCAGGAGACATGCCGGTTCCAGTCCTGGCAGCCGCCGCCGATGATGAAACATTGCTCCCCGATGATATCGCGGAACAGGGAAGAGATTCCCTGCTTGGGTTGCCCGTTAATGAATGGGGGCGCCTCCAGATGGAGGATACCTCCCTCCTCGCGCTGCGTCGTCGCGTCGGGGAGAGGGGGCGTGGGACGGGTGATGCCGACGCATGGGAAATGCACGCGGGGTTGCTTATGCATTGGGACGGGAAATCCCACCGTCACCGGCTGGTGGTCCCTTCTGGGTTACGGGGTAAGGTGGTGTGGGCTGCTCATGAGCGCCTCCTCCACCTGGGTACCCAAAAGACCCTCGCCTTGCTCCAGCTTGACTTTTTTTGGCCGGGCATGACACGGGATGTCACGGATCTGTTGGCAGCATGCCCTCGGTGTGCGCAGCGCAAACCACCATCACGGGAGTCGAACCCGCCGTTGCAGTCCATCACAGTCTCCAGGGTGAACGAACTTGTAGCGCTGGATATCCTGGGCCCATTTCCCGCCACCCCTAGGGGCAATAGATATTTGTTAACAGGGGTTGAGTACTTTACGCGCTGGCCTATGGCCTGGCCCCTGGCCAATCAGTCGGCAGCAGCCATCGTGGACGCCTTTGTCCAAGGCTACGTCATGGACAAAGGTGCTCCGGAGCGGCTGCTGACCGACCAGGGTAAAAATTTTTCCGGAAAACTCCCCAAACAGGTCTGTGATCTCCTGGGTACGAAGAAAATTCGTACCTCTCCCTATCACCCGCAAACTGACGGGATGGTCGAGCGTCTGCATCGCACCATCACGTCTATGTTGTCACACCAGGTTTCGGAGTCACAGACCAATTGGGACTTGCAAATTCAAGGGGTCCTGGCAGCATATAGATTGGCCCCCCATGCTGCGACGGGATTTTCACCCTTCTTTCTCATGTATGGCCGCGAACATGACCCACCTGTTCGGGCACAGCTGCAGATCCCCGCGCCGCTGGGTAAGACAAAATTGGACGAACACGTTAAATTTAACCTTGAAAAACTGACTGAGGCACGGGATGCTGCCATGCTAAATTCCGACAGGCGTCAAAAGGCGAACGAGCGCCTCAGACTGGCACGCGCGCACGTGCTGCAGTGGAAGCCAGGGGACAGGGCATGGCTGCACTGTCCCCAGGTACCACTCGCGACCTCCTCGAAACTGGTGCGGCCGTGGCGGGGCCCCGTCGAGGTGGTCGAGGTTTTGCGACTTCAGTGCGTTCGTATCAAGTGGGGGAAGCGCCGGTGGTTCGTTCACCCCTCTAGGCTGAAACCCTTCGTTGCGGTGCGAGGCCCTACTCCACACACGCAGGGCCAAACATGTGGGGGGTCGACCGACTCGGAGGGTCCGTCTCTGTTGCTCTCGCCTGACGTCTTGCCGGCTGTTCCACCCTCAGGTACATCAGGAATGACGGGCTCGCGCCCAACAACCCACACGGGGGATGCCGAGGGTCTCGCCACTTCAATCGCGGACTCACCTCGAAAGGGACAGCTGCCATCGGATGGTCCGCCATCTGGGGTTGGCCCATGTGACGGGCCTGCGGCAAGGACGCGCGCAAAAATGCGCAGACTCTTGTAATGCACAGGAAGACGAAAAAAAAAATTTATTGAGTTTTTTTTCACGTGTTATGGTTACTGGGCGCTGCGTTGGTGGGGCGCTCTTGGCACGTTGTTGTTGTGTTCTGTGTGTGTTGTGTGTGTGTTGTGTGTGTCTTGTGTGTGTGTTGTGTGTGTGTTGTGTGTGTGTTGTGTGTGTGTTGTGTGTGCGCTGGGGGTTCCTGGCGAATGTATATACTTTGCTTTTACGGATTTCGTATTTATTCGGGGGGGGGGGCGCGTCGGTTTATTCTCCCTTCGGGGGTATGGTTATTGTTGTTGTTCGATTCGCGTTCTGTTGAAAAAAAAATGAGGCACACACGAGGGTCAAGGGGTAAAGGTACCTTTATTGGAATTGTTGCAGCCGGGACGGCTGCGAGCTGTGCAGGGGGGAGTGATGTAGGGCTGTTATCGAGGGGCTGTTTGTACATAGGATCAAACGGCGAACAAACACAGTGGGCGGAGCTCCGGGAGTACACGGGGGGGGGGGTGCCCGCAACGACGTCCGCATCGGGCAGCCTGGGGGTAGGGCTGCCCGGGGTTGTGATCCTGGGGGGGATATAAAAGGGGATGACAGAGAGAGCTCGGGGCTCAGTATTAGAACGAAGAAGGGAAGACTGAAGACCCGGGTAGCTAGAGCCCTGGACTCCCCTGAGACGCCGCCCTTGTCAGGGCCGCGCAGGACCGAGCCAGCGGCGTGGTCCCGTGAACCAGAGTCAGCACTCTGGGACTCCGGGTACCGTAGCCCGACTCGCCAGTGTCGGGCCAGACAGCCTCCCCTAGCCCGTTAGTGGAGGACTCGGGGGTAGGTCAGGGATAGCTAGGGGTGTATCCCCAGTTATACGGGTGAGGGGGCCGATACCCCCTCGAGTGTTATATGCCCACTGTTGTACTGTAAAATAAATACACGTGTGCCTCAACCTCGGTGTCAAGCGTCCTCACCGGTACTTCACATGCATTAAATTTGAAGCGTATGAACAACATCTCATTGGTGTATTTACTTTAAAATTCAAGGTGTTATTATTAACCTAAGTAGTTATGTTTAGGTGACTGAGGTGGTAGTAGTCAAGTGTAATTTGAGTTACATGTCAATTATTGTGCAATGGATTTGTCTGTGTGCACCTAGCCTGGCACGTTTAATATGGGGTTATTTTCTTGTTGATCAGTCTTTAAAGATGTATATTTTTGCGTCTTGTTATGTGTGTCTGTGTCAGCTTACGTTTCTATGTGTGTAGCTGTGTGTGTCTGTTAGTTTATAATGGGTGATGTGATGGGTGGTGATGACGATGATAATTAATGGGTGGTGATGTGATGGATGGTGGTGATGATGGGTGGTGGTGATGTGGGGTAGTGATGATGCGTGATTGGTGGTGATGATGGGTGGTGATGATGGGTGGTTATTATAGGTGGGTGGTGGTGGTAATGATAGGTGATGATTGGTGATGAGGGTGATGATGGTTGATAATTATGTTAATGGATGGTGATACTGATGTATGGTGATAATGATGGGTGTTGGTGATGGGTGGTTGGTGGCGATGATGATGGGTGGTGTTGATGAGTGGTGATAATGATGGGTGGTGATGATGATGATGGGTGGTGGTGGTGATGGGTGGTAGTGATGGTTGGTGATGACGATTGATGGTGATGATGATGGTTGGTGATGATGGGTGTTGATGGTGATGGGTGGTGATGCTAATGGGTGGTGGTGATGATGGGTGGTGATGGGTGGTGATGATGGGTCTGTTTTTAGGAATCCTTCATGACCCACAAAGTGTGTGGGTTTGTGGAAGAGCCATCACCCACAATTCCTATTGATAGCCATTCAATCTTTAAAATGCTAAGCGGGGGCCTTCGGTTATGGGAATGTCGAACGAGCCAACCCGTTTTTTTATTCTCAGAGCTGGAATTTAGGCAAATAATAATGATAATAATTACATGTTTACTCTCAAAAAGAGTTTGAATCAGAGGTATGATGAACCACTGACAAGCAGCATTCAGAATCATCATGTTTATTTATCCTGGAGGAGTCCGATGAGCTATCCAGCTATTGTTTACAGACGTCGAGTCGGGGAGGGTCAGAAGAACACGAGACAATACAACAAGTGATAGGAGTGCGAGCTAGAGAAAAAAGGTAATCCAGTCACTAAACTATATAGCATTTAAATAACTAAAATATATAAGTACAAATGGCACAAGTACATAAATTACTGCCGATATTTAAACACTAAATGCAAGCTTGGACAAAAGCAGTCCCAGACCACACCAAGACAACACAGTCCCTCGATGAAATTTCATGTAAAATTTTAACCTTTGACACATGGGTAAGAATCAGAGTTAGAAGTTACATTGGCAAATGTGGTTTTATCCAGCACTAAGCTTCTGCTTCATATTATTTTTAAGGAAGATTTACGGATGTTAAGGGAGGATCCAAGGTTATTCCAAAACATTGATGGTGCTGCACTGACAAAGACTTTTGTTACCCATTCCAATTCTTGTTCTTGGAATAGTTAAAGCTCAATTCAATGGGCGTCTTAGGTTGCGTGGGTTTGACCATGGGGTAGATGGATTAGGTCAGTATAATGCGTAATTTTCCAATCTTTATAAGTAGAGGTCACAATGGTGGGTCCTGTATGGTAAATCCAGTACAGATCAAAGAGCAGAATGATAAAGCGGGTTTATTATGTTTAGTGTTTCATTAGTAGTTGATTTGTAAGCAGCATCACGGGAGTCAAAATGTGGTAGAATGATAGTTTCAGCAATTTGCAGGCCTAATCGAAGGAGAAAACTGTTTCTGTATTAAATCCCTAATTTGCATTTCATTGCATTTGACGTGTGATCAATGTGGGGTTGTCATGTGAGTTTTTAATGAATAAAACCAAGTATTTGGAGCACTCTGTTCAATGATGTTTTTTTCTGATATCCATAATAGGTTAAGGGAATTAAACGAGACTCTTGTTTGATGAAAATAACATGATGATAGTGATTTTGGGATTTCGGATACATTTTAGTAATGACAATTGATTATTGAATCAATTCAAAATCGTGTTGGAGATTGTTTGACTTTGGAAATTTATCCGATACGAACATGACAATGTTACCAGCAAAGATACTTAATTCTGACTAATTTTAAGTTTAGTCCAAATCATTCAAATATAAGAAAAGAATTGGACCCAGCACGCAACCTTGTGGAATGCAATTTGTTTTGTTAATTTTTGTGGACGAGACGTTATTACTATTGTAGGGGACTGTATGTCAGAGGTATGGTTGGGGCACGCGTTGCGATACAGTGGCTGCGTAAGAATGGGAAACTGTAAGGGGAAATATAGGGGAACGCACACGTTGAGTTAATTAAGAGCAGGTGGTCTGTCCACGTGGGAGGGACACGGTCTGATTAGGGGCGGGGCCTAAGGAGGGTTTATAAAGAGGGAGCCTGAACTCAGTTGTGGGTGCAAGGCTGGGACAAGACTGAAGAAAGACGACCAAGGCGGAGTGCAGCTGGGCTGGGTTCAACGGAACTGTTTGTACTTACTACATGGAAATAAAGACTTACCCTTGTTAAAATGGACGTCTCAGGAACTCCTTTACACTATGTACTTATTTAAGAACGGTCTGAGAGGTAACTTATATCATTTTATTGTTGAATCTGAAAACCGTAATTGACCAAGAATTGTGAGTGGAATATAATTTTCAACTGGCTTTTGAAAAGGTAATGAATATTGCACAGCAGTAGTGACCTTTTATCCAGTTTACTGATGAGAACATTTTAAACATCCATAGCTGTGGTGGTGCTGTAATCTTGAAAACTAGACTTTGCTGTGCATGACATTGTGAGCTTTTCGGCAGCAGTTTATTTTGGATGTATGTTTTTCGAATATTTTAGTAACTTGATTTGAAGCTTGCGTGACTGCAGGAATCCATACTCTTTGGTTCTTTCGGTAAAGTCACGTAGATAGAAAAAAGAAAAATATATATCACGACGTGTCGATCGCAACACAAGCAGTCGTCCTCAGAACAACACAAGCGGTCGTGTGCCTCGGAACTGCTGAACCTGGTTCAGCCTAGTTCAGCAGTTCCACTGCTGGATAATTTTTTTCCGCCTGAGGACGACCGCTTGTGTTACGATCGAAACGTCGTGATATATATTTTTATTTTTTTTCTACCTACGTGACTTTACCGAAAGAACCAGTGTATTTTAGTAACTGTTGAAAAAAATATGGGTCTATAATTACTAGGATCCTCTTTTAAGCCATTTTTATACAGTGGATAAATTAAAGTAGATTTCTACGATAGTGGAAATGTAATGGGAAAGGTGAGGCAGTAATGCGACCAGGATTGGTTTCAACACGCAAACTAATCAACAATATAAACATGTATTGTTTTTTAATGTATTTTATACTATAGTGCTGTGCTAAATGGCGTTACTAGCATGTAGATATTTTTGCATGTCTGTGATTAATGTTTAAGCTACGAGTAACAGGTGGATACCTATGAAACAAATATCATGAATTGTGGAAGACTGCAGGAACAGAATTAACATAAGATTGGAGATGCCATTGTTTGAGAAAGTATGGGGGTTTGTGTCTGATGGATGAGGTAACAGTGTCGGTGAGTTTGCTGGGTTGGGTGACAATGGGGTAAAGAGACAGCAGGGTTACTGGGTGGGAGACCAGAAGCAGTCCGCTCTACCGGTCCTAAACAGTCGCAGCACAAACAGCAGCCAGGGGAGGACCACTCTCGAGTGGGAGCTGATCCCAGGGCCTTGACCGCGATCCGACAGCTGAGCTCTGGCGGGTTGAAGATGCGCGTGAGGTCCCCGAGCTGGTGGAGCGGCACGCCGCCCATGCAGCTGCTGCTGGAGAAGGGGACGCGCACCTTGGCCGCCAGCTGCTCGGCCTCGCCGCGCGTGCGGCCCAACGGCGCCTCCACGCTGAAGCCATTGGTGAGCAGCAGCGGCACGAGCACCCCCCAGGCGTGAGCCCCATGTTGAACACCCCCACGCTGGCCTGCGTGGCTCCCTCGCTCGGTCCCAGCTCCTCTTCCTGGTCTCGAGCTTGAGTCTCTTCTAGGGGGCGGGCAGCGATACGGAGGAAGAGTGGCAGACAGCCGAAGAGGGGGAGACAGCTGAAGAGTGGCAAATGATGGAGAAGTGGGAGGATGGGGACATGGAGAAGGAGGAATGGGAGGGGATGGAGGAGCTTGAGGTGGTGGTGGAGGAGGAGATGGTGGATAACCAGAGATGGAGGAGCTGGAGGTGGTAGAGGAGCTTGAGATGGTATAGGAGGAGCTGGAGGTGGTGAAGGAGACAGATGGCGATGGTGGAGCAGGAGACGGAGGAGCTGGAGGTGGGGGAACTCACGAATCACTCACCCCTCACTCGCCCATTATCCAACCATCAACTGCCCTCACTCACCAACCAATCAATCAACCATCACCCATTCCTCACTCACCCATCACTCACCACTCACTTAATCATCATTTATCAATCTCTCGCCACTCGCCCACCACTCAACCATCAGCCACCCCTCAACTATCATCCAACGGTCACTCACCCCTCACCAATCACGAAAACATAACTCACCCCTTACCCCTCATTCACGACTCGTGTAACCATCACGCACTCGCCAATCACTCAAGCATCACCCATCCCTCACTCACCCCTCACTCACCACTCACCCATCACTCACCCATCACTCACCTGCCCCCTTTGTCTCTGTGTATGGAGCAGCCCCACCCAAAGCAGCTGATGGGAGAGCTGAGCAGGGAGGTGACCCGGACTGCGACCATCAACCGTCCAGTGCGCGCATGCCCCTCGTCAGCAATTCGCCCGAAGGTGATCTCGCCAATAACATTTACAATTTTTATTATTATCAACACGAATAATTTAGCACATTTGGCATTCACGCCCTTCTTGTTCCATTCCAGGGATCTTCATCTTTGTCCCAATTGAGTGATTTCTGGTGTAACCTTTTATATTGGGCCAAACCTGGACCGTGACGAGTGACGTCGTGGGATCTTTAACGTTCACTGCCAAGTGAGCGACGCAGGCTATTTTGCGAGCGTGTGCGGAGTATTATCGGCCAAACGTCAAGTTGCTACAAAGGTCACCTGGCAAGTGAAAAAAAATATTCCCTTTTCTCAAGTCGACAGACCTTCACTTCATTGGACACCTTTTAAATTATCCGTCATCTTCTGCTTCCCGAAATTTAGATTTTCGTAACCTCTGAGCGTGAACGACTTCTGCCCCTCTTCATCTAGGGCAGGGATCGGTAACCTGCATCTCCGGAGCCGCGTGTGGCTCTTTAAGGACTGCTTCGTAACGTTATTTATTCAGGACCACCATCTCGTATTCACCACACAGTGCATTACAGCTCTTGAAAGATTGAGTTTCTTTAACCGAATACATTTTTTTATCTTGTTATTTTCGTTACCGTCCTCTGGTCTAGGGCAATATCTTGGTCAAGGACCCCATGGCTGGGACCGTGCGGGTAACAGACTTTGGTTGCAGCTTCCATGAGACTTCTCAAAGTAAGTGACCTCAACGGCATGCATGAGTATATGTGTGCACTATGAACCTGGCGACCCGAATTCAATTCCCGCTCATGAGCAACACCATTCGCAGCCGTTCCCTGTTCATCTTGGGGTGTGACAGCATCTGGCTCCTGCATTGTTTACATCATGTTCGACCATGTAATTCGAGAAGCCTTCTATGGCTGTACCTGTGGAATTTTAATCTGCTACAGATACAATGGGAGGCTGATCCTCCTGGTCAACCATGTTATGCACAGTGATGATCTGGTGGTTGCTGCCCACTGATGAGTTGAAGGTTCTGCTGCTAAACCTGCAGCGTGCCACTAAGAGATAGGCCTTACTATCAGCCTCACCAAATTAAGCACCTGCTCATGTATTTTGTATAATCCAATACTCCACTGAGTCAACTCCCCACCGTAATGGTGCAGTTGTGGAGAGAGTAGAGAAGTGTCCATACCTGGGCTGTGTGCTCATGACCAACTCCAGATTGGCAGCAGAATTCTCACTCCGAATCAGTCGAGCGGCATTATATTTTGATCAGCTGCTTAATGCTGTGTGGAAGCTACCTGGTCTGTCACTCGACACAAAGATCACGGTATTTTCGGAAACAGTCTTGCCCTTCCTTCTCTTTGCTTGCGGAATGTGGACCCCTCTCATAGAATATCTGCACCGGTTAAAAAGTTTCAGGTTGGCCTGCCTATGATCCATTTTGTCAATCTAGATTTGACGTTTTCATGACTGCAGGGATCCATACTCTTTGGTTCTTTCGGTAAAGTCGCGTAGGTATAAAATAAAATTAATTAAATCACGACGTTTCGGTTGTAACACAAGCGTCCGTCATCAGTTGGGACAACCACAGCAAGAAACAATTGCTGAAGTGGGCCCCTTCAACCCGATAGCCTAAGGGAGGTACACGCTCCCTTCTAGCACGTCCTACACACTCCAGGCTACTCTACACACCGGTCCCTTGCCACGACGGCTAAGGGAAGACTGGACCGACCCGTCCCAGGCAGGGTACGGGGCTCACCCCTGGTCCGTTACACCGCGGCTCTGACCAGAGCCTCGGGGAGGGTCCCAGGGTGTCCGAGCTACCTCGGGTCCGCCACAACCCGGCTCTAACGAGAGCCTCGGTTGAGGGTTCCCGGGTGCTGGTCCAGTTTTCAGGTCTTCAGATGTATTCAAGCTTGAGTTGGCGAACACTGCTGGACCCGTTCAGAGGATCGGCTTTTTATCCCCAGGTTGGGCTTACCCCTCCCCTCATGACCCCCCCTCCAGAACCTTCTGGAAGGTCTTAGAGGGTCTTAAATCTTAAGGGGTCTTAGGAAGGGGTGAGGGGAGCCCATCACCCTCAGCCCCTAGCCCCTGGGGGGTCTGGGGTGTCAACCTCCGGTCACGGGCCTCCCACCTCGCTCTGTCTCGGCTGCCCCCTGTCGGCCCGTGAGCGTGGTGGCAGGTAAGCTCCTTACAGCGCCTTGTTATGGCGCAACACCTACGTGACTTTACCGAAAGAACCAAATATCCATTTTGTGTTTAACCAGGCTGAATTGTGTGAGGAGAACATAAATCCTTCAAAGATCTGAACACATTCCCATCAATCTTAATTTGGAGCTTTCGTGACTGCAGGAATTACTCTTTGGTTCTTTTGGTAAAGTCACGTATATAGATAAAATAATAAATTAAATAATAGCATACGACGTTTCGATTGCAACACAAGCAATCATCATCAGGTATAAATGAAATAGCAACAAAAATCTAACCAGAAAACTATAGACAGACATATAAGCAGACAGATAACACCAAGATACATAGAGAGAGAGTAACATAGGCACAGAGAGGGAGATCGTCTCTGTGGCGAGGCCTTTAATAGACAGGGGGGCGGGGGCGGAGAGAGGGAGGGGTTAGAGAAAAAATTAACATGTCAATGAGTACGGCGACGCGTGGTAAAGTACGCAGGCTTGAACATTAGGAGAGAGGGAGAAAGAACACACTAAATTAAATAACCTAGCAAAATATCGAAATGTTATGTAATACAACACAGAGAGTCGGTCAACACACAATTAACACATAGCCTGGTCGATCACGTATTTCAAAGATTGCTAAGTTAGAATTTAAGTGTGTAAATTCCGTACTCATTGACATGTACATTTTTTCTCTAACCCCTCCCTTTCTCCGCCCCCGCCCCCCTCTGTCTATTTAAGGCCTCGCCACAGAGACGATCTCCCTCTCTGTGCCTGTGTTACTCTCTCTCTATGTATCTTGGTGATATCTGTCTGCTTATATGTCTGTCTATAGTTTTCTGGTTAGATTTTTGTTGCTATTTCATTTATACCCGATGATGATTGCTTGTGTTGCAATCGAAATGTCGTATGCTATTATTTAATTTATTATTTTATCTTTATACGTGACTTTACCGAAAGAACCAAAGAGTACATTCCCATCAGTGAACTCCTCCGATGGGCAATGCTGCATTGGTTGTGTCATGTCACCCCGCATGCCCAGCCACCACATGCCCAGCCAGTTTCTGTTTCGCTGGATAGAGGGGACTAAACAGACGCGGTACGGCCTTGAGAAGAGATGGACTGTTGCAATATGGGAAGGATGCGGAGCTAAGTGGACTTGCTCAAGACTCGCAAATGTCATGAAGAACGCTATTGGGCAGTTGGAGGCAGTTACCCTCCAAAAACAGAGGGCAGAAGAGCGACGCTCATGACAATGAGCAGAGTGTCGAATCGCTAAAATGCAGCAAGTTGGAAGAGTGGGGGACACAGGTGCCCCCTCAGTAGTCAGCCAACCCAACACCACGGTGGCGAGATTTTAACTACCTCCCCTGGTATACAGGGGGCTGTGGGTACGATCCTGATCCTGACGCCTGTATATTTGGAGTTTGCATGCCTTTCTCCCCGTGGTCACATGGATTTTTCTCTGGGTCCTCAAGTCTTTCCCTCTAAATTTAGAAACATGCTTTTAGAGTATTTGGCTGCGATACATTTGCACGTGATAAGCAGCTTCACTGAGCTATCATTTGTAGCCAGATCGCTTCTGAAAAATAGCTAAATAGCTCAGTGGGCCTTACCTGGTTAAATAAAAAACATGTATTCTGTCCTGTGACCTGTCAGCGAGCCTTTGGCACTTTACGTGGCCTCGGAGTGCACCTAGCCTGGCACAAACACCCTGGTGATGTCACCGCCGGTGACGAATGGGGCTGTTGTTGCTGTGTGTGCCTATGCAAGCATGTGTGTGGGGAGTGGTAGTGTAGCAGTTATTGCGCTGTGCTATGAAACCATCAGTTCGATTCCCGCTCACGTTCAACACCAGTGACGATTATCGGAACCGGTGATGGGCCTCCGAGCTCCACTCAGCCTTAAATGAATACCTGATGTGATGCATTAACATTGCCATGAGGGAGACAAAGGTGGCCGGGTACCGTGTTGACCACCCACCACTTTATGCGCCTTTCTGGCCTTTATAGGTACTTGCAAACAGCATTTACCCCAACAGTCTGTTAAAGGCTATATGGGGGATATTTTTCTTTTGTATACTTGTCACTGTGTGTGTCTGATGACGCTGTGGGTGGTGATACTGTGTGATGTTATTAAAGGCAATACGTGAACATGTGGGCACTCGGCTGTGTGGTGGTAGAGATAGCCTTGGGAAAGCTCCTCTTCAACGACCTGTTCCCGTGCTATGTAGAGGTATGAGACACTGCAGTTCACTTGTGGTTCGCCACCGATTTTTGGGTCAGACTCACGTAATGATCTGGCGCATAGCGGTCATTTTACATTGTGTGTAATATGTGTACGATACGTATTCGTAACAGACACGTTGTGAGCAATTGTAAGGCTGGGCCCACGCCAGAGCAATCAGTCGAGCAACCGTGATGCTCTCAAAGTTGCGCAACTCGCCCCTGACCGCTTTGTCCACATCTGAGCGAGTAGTTGTCCAATAAGGATATCAAATGGCGCTTTCAGGATCATCGGAACCAATTACACTTCTGAATATGATCACGTCACGAGCTACTTCACTCCCAATCACTGAGCGTATCGCTTGGGAGTGTAATGCCGCCGCCGTGAAGCCGCTCGGCGGGCGCCCCATCTACGACCTCGCCACCACCAAGCGACGGGGCCGACCCCACTTCCCCCTCACCACCCCCCACATAAACACACCCTCACACATTTCACCCCCATAGAGCTCCGAGGGGAGGTCACCTGGCCAACAGGTTTTCACCCGGAAGCCCTCATAGGGATAA